AAAAAGGCATTCATTTTAGTCCTCACTGGTGATGAGGCATCTGTATTTTAATTTGCAAACGAAGATAGATGTAGATGTTTATGGGCCATTGCAACCACTTGCCATCAGGTGAACTGTGTGCTCGTTTGTCACCATTATTTTATAAAAAAATATTTTTTTACTAAAAGTTATATTAGTCATAAGTAAGAAATATTATTATTTGTTATTCTGAGAAGAGAATTCTTTATGTTTTGATTTTTTTATATTTAATAGTCGGATTTTCCCCCAAAATTCAAGTCAAATATTATTGTAGCCTTATATATAAAAAAATATATGGTTGAATTCAACTTATTTTTTCTTAAAACTCTTTATTTTTCAACGTAATGCAAAGACGGATATTTAAATCACCTCTTTATTAAAAACACTACTTAATATACGCCGTCTCTCAGGTCTCACGTCGGTGCTAACGTTACAAAAAATGCACTTCGGTACTTAAAAGTTAACTCAGTTTATTATTTTAGTGTACGATGAACCTAAAACAATTGCGCATAGCTTTTTGTCTATGTTTTCATCCCGCGTCATTAAGTCTGAGTAAGCATAGCTAATGCCTAGCTATTCGGGCATTAAAAAAATTTGCATGCATTGCTCTTCCAACTATTAACTGAATCAGCTTGGTTGTGAGTCATTGGACGCGAGACATATTAAAATAGTTGTTGAGATTTGAAAGCAATGAAAACTTCTATATTGTATTTAGGCTTATTATTTTTAACAGTAATTATTATATTTAACAGTAAGCTAAAGTGGCAATACGTCATATAGCTCAAAGAATCGGCAACCGGTGGGAATGAATTGTCGAGGGCAGTTTCATGTTTCGTTTTAAGTAAGGTATTCGATTAGGTGCAGTTAGAAATGTAGAAATCGATGGATGCAGGTGGCTCAGGGCCGCATTTTATGGCATTCCTTCAGGGAAGCCCAGTAAACTTGTGAAAAACTGTTTTTTTTTTTAAATAAAACAAGACAACCGTGCTTACAATCCACCTGATGGTAAGTGGCAACTGCAGCCCATCAACACTTGCAAACAACTTTGTTTAAGACTATAAAATTAGTAGCAATAAAGAAATGTAGATGGCGCTGTGCGATTGAAACACGAGTTATCATTTATTTCACCAATAAAGTGTATAGTCCAATAAATCAAACATTTAAATAGAAGAATTCAGATAAAGTACATAGTGTTTTATTGTAACCCCTATAAAATCCAAATTAGTTCAACAGTTCAATTCAATAGTGCAATAGATCAACAAGACCTCCATTAAACAAACTTCGAGGAAAGGCTACAGATGCGTTGTCACCTGTAAGGAATAAGAAGGAATACCTTACAGCTTGTTTAATACTGGTTACTGGCTATATAAACACTTCAGGCGCCGGAGCACAGCAGTGCATGCTATTTGGCGGCAGAAATAATTGATGATAGTTGATAGATGATTACACCGCCACCACATGACTGCCGGATCAACGGTCCAGTGGTCGTAAACGCTATTGCTGATCATGAGATCCCAGGTCGGGCCAAAATCAGTTTTTGGGTCTTTCTGTCAAGAAATTCTCAGTAGCATCCCGAAATTAAGAAGATGGCGATGATTCACTCCCGTTCCTCGGAAAATACGTAAAGCAATTGGTTTTGTGCCTGATTTCTCTCCGGTCGTTTCGAATTACCGTCCCATCGGACTATTAGAGTGAGGGAATAGAGGGTGCACTTGTGCTTGCGCATACACTTGGGCACTATACTCCTGTCCTGCGCAGATGGCTAGTCTCCGTTGAGACCGGCCGCTGTGACTGAAATTCGGTCTGGAGGACATTATCACATACATCAACATTCACACAACGTCCACACAAATTGGTCAGTCCGTTACAAGGATTCAGTTTGAGGCATTTTACGTAATAATTTATAGCTGGCGATAGTTTTTATTTGCAATTCATCTTTTTTAAATAATTTGCTAGCATAACAAGTGGTAAAATTAAAAATTTTGTACAACCGACTTCAATATAAATTATTAAGGATAACTCAAAACCTTGGTCAAAGCCAGCAGCTTTCAAATAAAAAAAGAATCATCGCATCAATCGGTTCACCTAGAAAAAAGTTATGGAGGTAATACACACACAAAAAACACAGTCGAATTGAGTACCTCCTCCTTTTTTAAGTCGGTAGTAAAGTATACAATAAGGGTGGCAAACGAGCAAACAGTCCATCTTATGGTAAGTGTATGCTGTGACATCTACATCTATCCCCAATTAAGAATCAAAATGCAGATGCGTTGTTACCCGTGAGGACTAACATGGAATGCTTCATTTCCAGTCAAAAGGATCTCAGGTTCTCTACAGTCACCATACAAAACAGCAGCATTCAGGTGTTATTTTACGCTGGTATTATGTGAGAGCGTGGTCCTACCCCGATCGAGCCGACCCATTCGTGCTACAACCATAAAATAGTTGCAGCACTTAAACTTACATGTAAAAATAAATTAATATCATTCATTTAATTGATTGCCGCTCTCACTCTTTGTAAAAATGTGTTTGTGTAGTCTATGTTGAGCAACGGAATTCCGATTGACTGTAATGATGATGATCGTGATTTGTTTACCTCTATAAAGTTTATTTTCATAACTTGTACCAGAGCGCGTTTTGAATTTTGCAGTCGAATATTTGTTTTAATTTTTTTTAAAGGAGACAATTCAAAATTTTGCGGATTTACCTTCCCGAATGAAGTTAGTCTTGAAGCACATAAACTATTAAATTCCGCAATGTTTTATCAAAATGTCGACAAAAGGAAACGAAAGGTAATTCGACTATTTTCAATAACATTATTATAACAATGGTTCCATTGTGAAATAATTTTCCATATTTATTTATTTCTTGAAAACTGGTAATCTTTCAGCTAAAATTAACATTTTTTTGAAGGAAGGACCCACGTACCACATAATATTTATAATGATGTCCTCCAGACCGAATTTCGGTCACAGCGGCCAGCCTCAACGGAGACTAGCCATCGGCGCAGGACAGGATTATATCACAAGTGTATGCGCAAGCACAGGTGCACTCTCTATTCTTTCACTCTCATTGTCCGATGGGACGGTAAACCGACACGACGGGAGAGAGATCAGGCGCAGGACCAACTGCTTTACGTGCTTTCCGAGGCACGGGGGTGAGACACCGCCAACTTCCTGACTACGGGCAGCTACTGAGAATTTCTTGACGGAAAAACTCAATAATAGATCTTTATCGGGCCGACTCGGGTTTCGAACCCGGGACCTCCTGATCAGCAGTTGCATTTTATAACCACTAGACCAACGAAGTAGTCAGCAATGATTATAGCGTTACTAGTATGCCTAATAAAGATACTTGAGCAAGTCACAAATGAAGCCTATCAGAAGTTTTTGCAAATGGGTATCTTACCTATGTTCAGTATGTATATATAGTATAATCAATTAATTTTAGAGGTCTCAGAATCGTGTCAAACAGAAGTCTGTACTCTGTAGTCTCGGCCAATCCCTCTGGGTAACGGACGTGTGACTTTATGAATGTATGTATAATGCATAAAAGTAAAGTAAAGTAAAGTTGCAGCCTATTTACGTTCCTCTGCTGGGCACAGGCCTCCTCTCATTTCCTCACGATGTTTTTCTTCTTTAGCACGTGGTAAATCAGTCACTTAAAATTGCAATTAACAATTTCATTGGTGCTGGCGGGGATCGAACCGGGGTTGCTCGCGTACTGTGAAGCTTACAGCGAACGCTAACCAGCTGAACTACCACGGCTCGTATAATTTATAACTTAATGTTATCAGTCAATTTGATCTAAGTCCTCTTTTTTGTTTAAAGTTATCGAATTTTATTTTACTTATAAACAGCGACGCAGAAATGATTATTCTCTTCACAGTATTTGGAAAATTTATTTTAAGAATTAAATGATCATGGGAAGTATCAATTTCGTCTATTATTTGAACTTGTTACTTTGCATCATCATCTGCTACTTCAGATCTCACAATGTACTTTATTAGTAATGCAGAAAAAATAGCAGTAAATAGACAAGTATTGTTGACTGTAATATCTCGATGTAATGTTTTTTTTATATAATTTTCTTGTTTAATGTCTTAATTTCACTTAATTTTTTATAGAATAAGGGTGAAAAACGAGCACGTTTTACTACATTTATAAAAATCAAAATGCAGATGCGTTGTGACTCCTTGGGCTAAGATGGAATACCTCGTTTCCAGTAGAATGGGTATCCGGATCATTAGACTCACCATTCGAAACACAGTTAAATTAAGTTGCGTAAAATTAGTTTTATTCCAGGTGTAGTATTAGTGTAAATATAAGAAATCATTAAGCTGTTATTTTACGCTACCATTCTGTGAGAGTGTGATCCTTCCCCGGCCGAACCGAACCATTCGTGCTTCAACAATAATATATCTTCAGAATAGCTCTACCACGTCTATATAATTAGTATGTATGATAAACAAGTAGATATAGTACGAGTAGCACATAGTAGGAATAAGTAGGTACAAGCACGTGTATTAATTCTATATGAATGAAGATAGAATTTTATTAAGTGATTGTTGTTATTTTTTTTATTAGATAGGGTGACAAACGAGCACACAGTCCACCTGATACTAAGTGGTTGCTGTGGCCCATAGACATCTACATTTATTCTCGTTTGCGAATCAAAATGTAGATGCGTTGTCACCCGTAAGGACTAAGATGGAATGCCTCTTTTCCAGTAAAACGGGTCTCCGGTTCTCTACACTCATCATACGAAACAGCAGTGTTAAGCTGCTATTTGACGCTGGTACTCTGTGAGAGCGTGGTCCTTCCTCGGTCGAGCCGACCCTTTCGTTCTATAACTATACTACTAATATGGCTGCAGCATGGCTCTACCACGTATAAATATGTTGGATATGTTAATAGCATTAATAAACGAAACGATTAAATAATTAATAAACGAAAGTACAATACAAGTAATATAAAACTCACCAACAACTGTAGGTTCCAGATCAACGAACACCGCCCTGGGCACGTGCTTGCCCGCTCCAGTCTCACTGAAGAAGGTGTTGAAGGAGTCGTCTCCGCCGCCCAGAGTCTTGTCCGAAGGCATTTGGCCATCGGGTTGAATGCCGTGCTCGAGGCAGTACAGCTCCCAGCAGGCGTTCCCGATTTGAACGCCTGCTTGGCCGATGTGGACTGAGATGCATTCCCTCTGCGGACAAATATAACAACGGGGATTGAAAAATATATCCTTCTATTGCGGCCATATATTTTGTCGTCAAATACATAACTACATGTTATATTATGTGAAAGTTTTTAAAAGGCTAATAATTATAATTTGAAATATTTATGTAATTTTTTTTTATAGAATAAAGGTGACAAGCGAGCACACAGTCCATCTGATGGTAAGTGGTTGCTGTGGCCCATAGACATCTACATATATCCTTGATTACGAATCAAAATGCAGATGCGTTGTCGCCCGTGAGGACTAAGATAGAATGCCTCATTTCCAGTAAAAATGGTCTCCGGTTCTCTATACTCACCACACGAAACAAAGCAGCATTAAGCTGCTACTTTACGCTGGTATTCTGTGAGAGTGTGTTCCTTCCCCGGTTGAGCCAAAGGTCTTATTCTAGATTAAAGTAATAATAATGTTCTTCAAACCGAATTTCGGTCACGGAGGCCAGCCTCAACGGAGACTAGACAGGCGCAGGACAGGATTATGGTGCCCAGGTGAATACGCAAGCACAAGTGCACTCTCTATTCCCTCACTATCATAGTCCGATGGGACTGTAATCCGACACGAGCGGAGAGAGATCAGGCGCAGGACCAACGGCTTAACGTGCTTTCCGAGGCACGGCAGTGAGACACCGCCAACTTCCTGACTCCGTGTAGCTGACTGAGACTGAGAATTTTTCTTATCAGGATCTCATAATCAGCAGTCACGTTCACAACCACGAGATCAACGAGGCAGATTAAAGTATATAATAATGATCATTATTATATACTTACTACTTATTTAGACGATTTTATTATCAACAACTATTAGGTACTCTACGTTGCCACACACTGATCTGATATTTCTCAAATTAAAAGACTTGGATATTTAAAAAAAAATATTCGATTATATAGTGATTTTTTTTTTAGAAATAAGAAATGAGCAATTGTCACCTCTGAAGACTAAGATGAAATACCTTACAACCTCAAATTATGGCTTTCCATGCGATTCATACCAGAACACAGCAGTGCAGTTAAGATGTACAAGATACGAATGCAGCTCATTTCTTATTTAACCGTCCACTTGATGCTAAGTGGCAATCGAGGCCCGTGAACACCTACCGCCTAGTACCGTAACCAACTTCAAACAAAAATGTTTTCGTTTTGTCTCAACAACGAAGTAGTTGAAGTATTCTTTATTTCATAACTAGCGGTTTTGTACCGGTGATTTCTGGTTCTTGACAACAGCACCACCTACCAGGTCCAAATATGAATCTAAAACATCTAGGGACCCATTGCAACACACACACAAAAAATTCATCAAACTCGTTCGAGCCGTTTTCGAGTTTTAGCGAGACTAGCGGACAGCAATTGATTTTCATATAGAAATTCTCGCCTTTTCTCTACTATAATATACATGAATAGAATAGAATAGAATGATTTTTATTCAATATGGATTATTACATAATACTTATTGAAAGTCATTATTTTATTTACCACTGGTTCATAATTCATGTATTATACATATAAACCTTTATCTTGAATCATTCTGTCTATTGATGAAAATCGTATCAAAATCTGTTATGTAATTTAAAAGATCTAAGCGTACAGATAGCCGTAAGCGACTTTGTTTTACACTATGTAGAGAAGAAGAGATAATGTTCCTACGTTCCTACAGACCAAATTCAGTCACGGCGGGCGGTCTCAATGGAGATCAGTCATCGCTGCGCAAGACAGGATGTTATATGGTGCACAAGTGTGCCGCACGCATTCTCATAGTCCGATGGGAAGACACTCCGACTGGAGAGAAATCAGGTGCAGGGTCAACGGATTAACGTGCTTTCCGAGATTTGGGGTTGAAACACCATCAACTTCCTGACTCCAGGCTACTACTGTGAATTTCTAGGCAGAAAAACCTAATTACAGATTTTGGCCCCGCCGGGGAATCGAACCCTAGACCACATGATCAGCAGTCGCACCTACAACCACTAGACAAAGAAGGCAATCAAATTTTTTATTAAATACCCCCAATTTAAACATTGCTTTTAATAGGCCTTTCATTTAAAAACATAATGAAGCTTTACAAATTTAACAGGATTGTTAATAAAACGGGAATTTCTTTATTAAATCAGTTAAAGTTAAACATAAGAATTTTGTGTTTTGAATACAAACATGAAACAATAAATACGTACCACCATATCAACGTACACTAACGTGACTTTTAGCAATAAATTTCATTTAAAAGCCCAAGCCTACAATAAATCCTCTTACCCCAAATTCCTACAATAGTAAGGAACGTATTAATGTTACAAAACGTTTTACCAGTTTTTTAGAGACGTATCTGCATGACTAGCGGAATCTTTCAGGTATTTACCTTAATCGGTTCGCATGGCAGGCGGGTCAGTGGTAAAATTAAAAGGTGACTTTCATTTAGTATTATTCCTAATCTGTGAACGTTAAATTGAATAAAAAGTGTTATTTTCTATGGTATGTTTGTTGCAGTTAACAATAATGAAGGATTCGCGAGTTGTTTCTGTCACCAGGGCGGCGCCACTTTGAAATGACTTGAAATATTCGACAGATCTCATGGTGGAGAAGTTTATTCAGTGGTAGAGCCACGCGGCAGCTTTTGCTGTCGCACGGATGGGCCGGCTCGAACCGGGGTGGTACCATGACCTCACAGAAATCCAGCGTAAAGTAGAGGTTTACCTCTGCGTTTCGCTTGGTGAGTGCAGGTGGCCGGAGGCCCTTTTTACTGGAAACGAGGCATTACATCTTAATCCTCACGGGTGACAACGCATCTACATTTTGATTTGTAACAGAGGATATATGTAGATGTCTATGCGCCGCAGCAACCACTTACCATCAGGTGTACTGTGTGCTCGTTTGTCACCCTTATCCTATAAAAAAACAATTGTTAGAAAAGTGTAAAGATCATTCCGAAATATTAAGTATATTTTGTATTAATTAGATCTGAAATTGATAAAGCAAACTCCTAGTAGAGGAAAAGAAATAAAAAAGAAACTCAAATGTGTATAAAAAATTTAATAAGAAGGAACTAATTTTATACGTGGTAGAGCCATGCTGCAGCTTTATTAATAGTACAGTTGTAGCACGAATGGTCGACTCGACCGGGGAATGACCACGCTCTCACAGAATACCAGCGTAAAATAGCAGCTTAACACTGCTGTGTTTCGTATGCTGAGTGTAGAGAACCGGAGACCCTTTTTACTGGAAAAGAGGCATTCCATCTTAGTCCTCACGGGTGACAACGCATCTGCATTTTGATTCTTTATTGAGGATAAATGTAGATGTCTATGGGTCACAGCAGCCACTTACGAGGTGGACTGTGTGTTCGTTTGTCACCCTATCCTGTAAAAAAAGGTATTGTTTTGTGTTTTTTCATACACTAGAAACCCGAAAAAACACTTTTCAACAAAGGTGTCACTGTAAGACCACCTGCGTGACAAATGAGTTCACCTCAGTCCGAACTAGCGACATTTGGTGAGCGTAAGATTATTAGCCTATAAAAATAATTGTAAATATAAATAATATCCGACTCCGTCCCCCTTCACTTCACCGTTGTCTATTGTCAACAATCTTTGTCACTCAAAAAATTAATTAATACTAAACGTTACAAGCATTGAAGTATATACAAAGACTAAAATGGATTGGTAAAACCATCCGTTGTGATTTTGGATATTGTAAAATCATTTATTATTTATTTATTAAAAGAAACCAACAGATCATAACAGACGCATTTTATAAGACAGGCTTTCCAGTTCATTCGTTCTCGACAAGCCTGTCATTGTCAGAAGCATGCCAAGCGGAACGTCTGACAACTGCTTGACGTCTGTATAATTGTCTACAAGAGTCGACAAGAGTCTACAAACTTTTTAATAATATTTGAAAATCTGATTCAATATAAATAAGAATTATTTAAATCATAGAGTCTTACGTGATAAAGAATTAAAAATCTATACAAATAAATAAAATTGAAGTGTCTGTTTGTAATGTCAAAATAACAGCTTTTTACTATATGCATATGAAAGTATATACGGTACTTATAAGAAAAACACGATTTTTAAAACATTTGTCTGTCTGTCTGTCTGTTTGTTCCGTCTAATCTCCGAAACGGCTGGACAGATTTTGACGGTACTTTCACTGGCAGATAGCTGATGTTATAAGAAGTAACTTAGGCTACTTTTAGTTTAGAACAATAATTAGGGTTCCACGCAATAAAATTAAAACCCTAAATTACACGCGAGCGAAGTTGCGGGGAACAGCTAGTATATCAAATATATTATAACACTTATGTATATAATTCAAGCAATAAAAGAAACGCACGAAATTTTATTTTGTGCTATTTATTGGGGAAAGCCTATGGCGTACTTGTGATTATGATAGAAGATCTTAACTCACAGGCATATAAGAATTGGATTTAACATGCCATAAATTTCTCATGTCGCGCTTCTCACACAAGAAAAGCAGGCTTTCGTCTCCTGTTTCCATATTCGGATGTTCAACGTTGGAACTTAAACAAGATTAAAAAATATAAAATCGGGCTTTTTCTTTAAATTAAAATTTGACAAATTTATGTTAAGAAATATGCAAGAAAAATTAAATATCACAAAATGTGAGTTTCATTTTGGACTTGGATGTAAGGAATACGATGTAAAACGATGAAAACATTTTTATTCATATATTATAAACAGTTACCGTTGCAGCCTATTAAAGTCCACTGCTGAACATATACCTACTTCCCCCTTAGAATGCCTCAGTGGTATATTTGCATATTTGCTATAGTTGCCTCCCTTGGTAAGAGGGTTGGCAACCGCATTTATTTGTTATAAAATTAAACTTTTATCTCATATTTTATGTCGCCCTTGTGGTTGAAAATATTAAATAAATAATTCGCCGTGAAATATTTTTAAGTATTTCATTTCATTTGAAAGTTTCACTTCTACCGCTAGGTAGGTAGGTAGGTTTCTAAGT